TTTTATTTTTGTTACTCCAGTTTACAACTAATAATCTGTTTGCACTTTACCTGAGAAACCGATCCAATATTTAATCAATCTGCATCTACATCAATATTGTATTTAATATATTCCAACTGCTTAGACAGATTCAAATTAGCTACATACGACAATGCAGTCAGTTCTCTTTAATGTCAAATGTTAGTCTTTCTAAGGCCAGCTGACTGCATCAAGTCATTTACTTGCTGTCAATTTGATCTCTTACTAGCAGCAATCCCTCATGAGGAAGCTTGTGGCAACACTAGAAAGGAACAACTCCTTTTTAAAAGGAAGGTTCTGGGAGAAACAGGCTCAGCATGAGGAAAACATATGCCACAGTTTGAGCTTTGTCAAGGGGAAAGATAAAAGCTTAATCTTAAAAGTGGACAGGATTCACAGAAAGAACTTGCTGGTTCCACAAGAGAGAAGCTTGTAACTAAAAGGTCCAACTTGTGTTCCTCTTTTAGAAACTCTGGGAACTACCATAAAACCTGCAGTTTTGTGGTAGTTCCCAGAGCAAAGTGTTCTGTTGGAATCATATGGAAAATGATCATTTTCCATATGATTTTTTTTTAGTCAATTTTTTAAGATGGATCCTAATTATTCAATGCTTTATATGTCAAAAGGAGAATTTTACATTTTAGTCTACATTTAAGAGGGAGTCAGTGAAGAGAAGCTGAAACTGGAGAAAGATGATATCTCCTTTAATTGTCTTCAGAACAGTTGCTGCATCATTTTGGATGATAAAAGTAAGATAAAGTCTCAGTTTTATTTTTTTTATTTTTTTTGGTTTTATGATAAAGAATTAAAAATTCCTAGCCCTGATGTAACAAAGAGCATAGACTAGTTTTTTGAACCACAGTGGGACAAGATATTTAAAATGTTGTCAATATTGTTCAGATAAAAGAAGGATGTCCAAGGAATCTGTTTAAAATGGGTGATACTGGTTTTTAAAATTAGTGCTGTAGGCCTAAAGAATGACATCCAGAGTAAGTGACTGGCTAAGCAGTTTTTTTTTTTCTGTCCACAGACAGCAATTTTTGTTTTGTCTGCATTTAAAAGAAGGCAACTAAAGGGTCAGGATGTCTTGAGGCATTACTGTAGTCTAATTAACTTATTGGATTAATCAAGTGCTATGGATACATAAAGCTTAGTATCATCAGTATAACAACTAAAATTTATCTCATGCTATTTGATCATTTTACCAGGTGGAATCATGTATAGATAGTAATGAGAATTTAGCCAAACACAAAATCCTGTGGTACTCCATAAGTTTCTCTGTGTAAGAAAGATTAATCTTTAACAAGAGCAAAATTAAATCTGTCAGACAAATATTATCTAAACCCCCCTAGTGCCGTTCCTCTGATACCTATAGCATGTTTAAGCCTTTGTAAGGAAATACTATGAGAGACTATATCAAATACAGCACTGAGATCTAAAAGAACAATATAGACATATGTCCCTTATGCAGGGCCATGAGGTCAGGAATTAGAATGGTGCTGATCTTTGAATTGTTTCAAAGATTTTTTGAATTAGACCAAATTTGAATGTGACACATTGTAAGGTATACTGTGACAGGGTATGACTTCCTCAAATCTCTTGTATGAAAATAGTTTTTTGATATGATATCTGTTACATGATATTACATGTTACCTGTTGACATGATATTTGTTACATTTGGTATTTTAATCGCTTGACTTACATTCTTTACCAAGATATTAAGATCAGCCTGCACAAGAACACATGGGAAGGAAGATAAGATATGGACAGATGGCAGGTGTTGGAAGGCATCTTTGCAGGCAAAGATATGTTTGCAGTGTTTGAATTTAAAATCACTTGCACGCATGCACATGTGTTTGCTGCTCAAGTTCCTCTTCCTTTTCTTCACACAAAATTCTTCTTTCATCAGTGATCATAAAAGAGTTCACATTAGAAACAGGAGTACAAACATCCTCTATGTTAATCCTTCATCAACCAGGATTATTGATCTTAGAACAAGAAGAACTAGTTATGATCAAGCAGAATGAATTTTAACTATGCACTATATATTAGCCTCTGCTGTCATGTGATTTTTTCTGCCTTTAAGGAACGCTTTGAGATTAATGATAGTTGACAAACTTTACATAGGTAGACTTAATATGATAAAATTGAACCCAATGGGTTTTTTTTCTTTCCATATTATTATATATATCATTGTTCTTATATTTCGGTATTGAAAAAAAAATCTATTCTGACTTGCTTTTTACAGTTATATAATCATTATCCATCACAGCTAAAAGAAATCGGTCTCTTTAAAAGTCTTGAAAAGTTTGCAATTGAATGTTTTTTGGCAGGGCATGCATGAACTGACTGTGGTTGTGCTTCCATTTTCTCTCAGCCCTTATCTCCACATGAAGATTGGATATCATCAAACTCCATCGCCTTTGAGAAATTTCTTCTTGGCAGCTTTGCAGTTCATTTCTTTTCATCTTAGCATCAAATGAGATGTACAGAAACAAAGTAAAATTGGAGGAAAAGAGCTAATTTACACATCTATCTTGATTTCAGGAGGCAGGAAGAAGAAAGAATTCAATCCTTACGTGAAGATAACCTTTAAGACTGCAGTTGTTTGGGTGCAGAGTAATTGTTTCCTTAAAAATGTGTTTCTCTGATGCAGCTTCTCCATTCTGGATTTTACAGAATGAAAACTTATCAGTTTTATTTCTTTCTCTCAGCATCTGTTGAATTCACCAGTCCTTTGTTTTCTCCGTTCTGTCCCCCTGCTCCAACTTTATAAATTTAAAAAAGTATTTTAAAAAGACAGGAGCCCTTCAGAGTGTTACCATGGGGATAGGTAGATTGTTATCTTGCCACATGTCAAATTTATTCTAGAGATTTTACATTCAAGGCTTGTTAGAGAACCTGAAATGTCTGTCATTGGAACATTTACTAATTTTGTAACTTTAATTATTTTTTGCATTGCACTGAAAATATCACAGCTTGGTTTAAGTTTCACTCATTACATCAAAAAATGTTAGGAGGCATATTTATTTTCCTTCAGCCCTCAGCAATGAACCATCCAAACTCTGAAAAAGGCTGAATGACCTCCCAAGCATTGTCAGGAGTTCTCAATTCTTATTTGGTTACTGTTATTTTTTTATGTACTTTGAGCCAACCTGTGCTACCCCTGTAGGATTTGGCCAAGCGTTGAGTGGAGGTAAAAAGTCTTTTTTCATACAAACAAAGGTGTATTTTCAGACACTTTTAATGCTCTTTACAGGTTAAAGAGTGGAACTTCTTTTCCACTCTTTATGTTGGAAGCTAATTCAACAAGACAAACAACCATCACCATAGCAACATAACAGATGATCAAAATACACAAAATATTTAACAATACCCAAACCAATTAATACAACTATGATGTGATAAAATTGTTAAGTTGCAAATACATGCATTTGTTCTTTTTTATAAAAATGTTGTGTCATAAACAAAGACCCCTAGACAGTGCATCAAAAATGGAACATCCAATAATTAGCCTGTCTATATAAGGCTTTGGAGGCCTTCTGCCTTGGAAAAGCAATTGAAGGTAAGATGTACATGAACACATAATACCTGGTAATCCTTTATATTAACATCAAGTAACCAACTAGCCATCAGTCATTGCAATCAGGGTAGAGTACAACACAAACAAAGCTGCACAATTCTGTAAGCCAGCCAGTTGTATTGAAATAAAAAGAATTGTGTAATCATTGGTTATTTGTGGGCAAGATACTTATCTGAAAGCATGGGTTACATTACATGGGTTACATCTTAACATTACTGCAGGGGAGGGCAATTTTTTTTCCAGAGGGCCACATGACTAGCTGTGATTGTTTCTGAAGAGCAGATCATTAACTGAATAATAAAAATATAATTATGGGCTGCTTGTAATGGTAGTCACTGCAACTGAGCAATAAAATTTGACATGCTATATAGAAAACTTTATAAAATCTAACTATGTATATTTATCCTTGCTAAAATGAAAAAAAGTGCATGTTCTTTTATTTTACTATTTGTTTGGCCTGATGCACAAACTAAATCTTTTCCCGAAACTACATCAATCATACTCTAAGTTCCTTTTGTTTAATGCAGTCCTATACAAAGTTAATTTAAAACATCTTAAACTATCATGTTTAACAGCACATACAGTTCATTCAGAGGGCTTTCTTTAAATCCTAAAACAAACTCTAGATGAGCTGTTGGGTAGTTAATTAATCTACAAAATATTTAAAATAAACCAAAAATAATTCATGCTGGGTACAGCATGCAACTATGCCTGCAAGTCCATATTCCACCTCAGGCAAACTCAAGCATAGAACACAGTCCAAACATGGACAGATATATTGAATCCTAATGTCACATTAAGCTTAATTCCAGAGCTGGTGTTCAGGTTGTTTAGGGGAGGGATTGCATCTGGTCCAGGGCATGATGCCTGGATCAGTGCACCAGCTAAGTGCTAAATCCAGTAGCTCAATGCTATCAGCATGCAGGAGATGAGAGCAGGGTTTGGCAGTCACTCTGGAGAAACACTGGGGGTAAAGTGTGAATGAATTGTTTCCACCAAAACATGAACTATTAATGAACAGCACACATTACAAGCTCCGGTACATTTTGTGTTGAGATTGTATTTGAACAAAGCGGGGGGCATCTGCAGTAGAGTAGCAGAGTTTGAAGCTGCAGGAGTGAATTTAAACACCAGCTTGGTCTCTCACTTCAATCCACACTTGGCAGTTTTTTCCTGTGTCTGGAAGCTGTGAGCACCAGTGAAGCCCAACCTCTGAATGCTGCTCAGATTTAAAATCGTAAGCCCTGCTTGTCTGGAATCCCTTGTACCTACCTCCCTTGATTCTCTCATTACTTCATTTTGTCTCTTTGTCAGCTTGTGTGTAATTTTTTTTACACTGCCTCCTTTCGATTGCCACCCTATCCTTAATATCTCACTTTCTCCTCCCCTGACATCTTTTTAGGCGGCTGTGGCTCAGTAGGAAGAGTAGTTGTCTTGCAATCAGAAGGTTGTGGGTTCGATTCCAGCTTCCTCCTGCCTAATGTCGATGTGCCCCTGGGCAAGGCACTTAACTTCAAGTTGTCTACCGATCTGCATATCGGTGTATGAATGTGTGAGCATTAGTGAGTGCGATTGGGTGAATGTGGCTATAGTGTAAAGAGCTTTGAGTGGTCTGTATGACTGGAAAGGCGCTATATAAGTTCAGTCCATTTTAATTAGCAAATGTGCCTAGGTTGCTATTAGCAACCAGATGCCATCCTCCGATCATGTATCTAAGCAGCCCCGCTCACAAACATGTTGAAAGAATGAAAATAAAGAGGTTTTAAGGTGGCCACAGCAGCATAATGAAATTACCAAAGCCAGATATATGCAGTAATGTGGATCTGGAACTATTTGGGCCACATTTCTGCTAAAGCAGATATTTGGCTCGGTTCATTCAAGTTGAGGCCAATACAAAGTGTGACAGCAACAGATTATCTGCTACATTATGGTTCACATGGAGCAAGAGATTATCAAAATCCTGCCAGGGTATTCTGGGTAATTTCTCATATGATTTCTCTTTTTTTGATCGGTGGTGGAGTTATTTTTTTTTTTTTTTATTCCTAATGGTGAAGACACATGGGTGTAGAGAAATATATTGGGAAAATGAGATTTTGACACATCTTACTGAATATCTGTCTTTATCCTCAGTAGCATGTTATAAGTTTTGCTTTTTGTTCCATTGTTTTTACGACGCCTTGCATAACTATGAACGTCCCGTGACTTTTACCAAATTTTGTCACAGTATAAAATCAAACCTGATTGTGTTTTATGTGAATTTTATTTAATGAAGTAATGCTCAATTGTGTACTAGAAGGAATGTGATACATGGTTTTCTAAGCTTCTTACAAACCTGAAAAGTGTGGCAAGCATTGTAAAATAATAATAATAATATTTTGCTGCAAGTGTATCTGAAAGTTTTTTGGAGTATATCTTTAACAGCTTGCACATGAAAATGGTTTTAACTAAACAATTCCATTGTAGCTCAGGTCGTATATTTAGGGTTGTTGTCCTGCTGCAAGGTGAAACTCTGCCCCAGTGACAAGTCCCCCACAACTTTTAGCATGTTGTCTTCCAGTATTGCCCTGTGTTTAATCTTATTTACCATTCCCTGACCTGTCTGATCTATTCCTTAGTCTGTGTGATGCTGTTTGTTCCTTAACGTTCTCTAACAAACCGTTGAGGTCTTAACAGAACAGTTGGATTTTTACTGAAATATAATACACACCGGTGAACTCTATTTATTTTCTATTAGGTGAAATCTGAAAAGATTAGATTAGTGGCTGTAATTTACCAAAGCGTACCAAATAGTTCAAAGGGTTTAATACAAAATTAAATGCAACCTATACCTGTATTAGTTTTATTTGAGGCTTATTTTTAATCTATTTCTTGCATTATCTTGTTCCCATTGTTTTTGCCTCATATATTTTTGCTAATTTGTTTTCTTCTCAATCTGTGTTCTGGGTCTCTTATGCTTTCTGCTTTATTTTGAGTTATGACCTTGCATTTCTAGCCTTGTTTTATTTCCTGCCTTTGTGTTTTTCTTCTCTTTTTCAGTATCTTATTACTTTTCCAGTTTCTTTATTAGTTTGTGCCTCCTTTCAAACATTACTGAGTGATTAGGTAACAAATAAAGAGTAGTTACTCTTTACTTGTTTTGCCACTTGTTTGCTTTTTAGTTCTAATGTTACTGTCATGATTTCTTGTCCTTTTATCATATATGCATGCAGAGAGATTATTTTATATCACTGCATTAAACTGTTTTACTGAACATAGCAAGATGCCAGTTATCATTGCATATGTCTGCTTCTTCTTCACCTATTCAGACCTACAGCTTGCAATACACATATAAGCACAGTTGTCTGATGAAGCAGAAATGCTGCCCTACTTCAGTCGCTTGCATTATGTTCAGCTGAGATACAGTATCTGTCATTTGTACTGCTGGACAATTTCAGGAAATATTGCAACATAAAAGCATGTATCCTCTCCTTCACAAGGCTTTGGACTTCATAACCTGAATAATAAATGAAGTGTTGTTTCATGATATATCTGGAGCTTACCCTTCATCATTCTCAGGGAATCTAACACCAACACAGCTGTTCTGTCAAACATTTGAGAAAAGCTATTATGTTCTCACTCTGACAGCTTCACATAAATCTGTTTTGTTAAGAATCCTGGGGTCACAGATCATTAAGAACATAATTTTTATTATAAGTGTTCAATCCAGCGGCTAATGCAACCGTTTATGTCCAATTTCTTCTGCGAGCAGTTTAAACTAATACTTAGAACACATTTTCAAATCTAACATGGTGATTTTGTAAAACTAACTAGGTAGCTTGTGTTCTGACAGCGCATTATATGTCATCAGTCATCATTTGTCCCTGTAGATGCTGATCCAGTGTGTATGTAGAATATGTAAAAATATTCTTGTATGCTTGATATTAATTTGCAAGTGACATAACGATTTCTTTAAAGTTTGTCAGTGTGTATGTCCTCTAACTGGGAGCATTATTGGGCCTTATGGCTGGCAAGCCAGTGAAATGTGTTGCAGCATATTTGTTTTGAAGATTATGATCGCTAGTCTCAGATTCCCATCTGTGACTAATGCTGTTGTGCTGATTTTACCTTGGAAGCAGGTCTGCATCGTTTACAAGGTTAACAATTCTGCACTCTTTTCCTCTGTTTTTTGCCTCTTCCTTTTTGGTTTAGTTTACACACTATAACAGGTTAGATAAGGGTACTAAAACTATTTCAAACTAAATTGAGATCATTGTTAGATATTAAATAGACAAACTTTTAATGTCAACTGGATATATGCTAAATTGTCCCAACTGTGTTAAAGACAGCTTTTTGTTGAACTATTTTCTATTTATCAGATATTTTGCTGGATTATGAGAACCAAAAACTTAAAGCTAATCATCTGTACTTCATTGCTTTCCTTTTTGTACTAAATTAGCATGTATCTGCCTAAATTTTTGGTCACTTAAAAATAACAGTTTTAAAGGGTATGTTCTGTATTACATATAAAGCATTTTATTTTTGTTTTAGTTTTTCTAACAATAAAAAGATCAACTAGCAATAAGATCTTTGAGTGTTTTTGAAGATAATTTGATGGAAGGCAAAATTTAAATGTACTGATAAGAAATCATATATAGTTGTTGGCTTAGTTAAATACAAATATTTATACCCCTTTACCTTTTTGTCATGCTACAACTACCAATGGTAATATTCTTCATTTGGATTTAATTTGAAAGTCCAATTCAAAGTAGCACTCAACTGGGGAGTAGAAGAAAAGTTATACATGGTTTTAAAAATATTTCTAAAATAAAAGGCATCAACCCCAGGATAAGTGGGTATTGACAGTGAATGAATGGATAGAATGGCCCAGTCAAAGTCCAGATCTAAATTCAATTTAAATATTGAAGCAAGACTCAATATTCACAGAAGCTGTAAATCTAATCTGACTGAGTCTGAGCTAATTTATAAAGAAGAATTGGCATACAAATTAGCCTCTAGATGTGCTAAGCTGGTAGAAGCACACCCAAAGAGACTTGTTATCTGGCCGTTTGTGACTGCAGAAAAAGGTGGTTCAACAAAGGTTTTACTCAGGAGGGCTGAAGACATTTGCATGCTACACCAATCCTGTTTGACAACCATGTGTCATTTTCTTCCATTTTACAATCATAGGGTGGTTGTATGTGGTGGAACCACCACATACATACCAATAAAACTGTCATGATCCTTAGGTGTTTGAGCTTTGGATTTCTATAGATGTGTGTTTTGCTCTCTGTTGTTTATATTTTCTTAGTGTTACTATTTTAGTTCATCCCAGTGTTTACTTTTTTCTTAGTTCATTCTTTACCTTCAGATATGTCCTGTAAAATTGATTCCTTGTGTTTCTCTGTCTGGGACTGCTTATTTATTCTTTTTCCTCATCTCTTTCTCTCCCCTCATTAGTCTCAGCTGTTCCTCATCTTCTCCTGATTACACACCTTCTCTCCAGTCTTCCCTCTGTATATATTGCTCTCCAGTTGTCTGTCTCTTCACTGGTTTCTTCCGTTCTCCTTTCCTGAGCTTTGTTCTCCTGAACCGAGCTTCATGTTCCTGCCCAGTTGTCCATTTGTGCTCTTCATGCCATTTTGTAAGTTTTTGTTATTCATTAAATATTGTTTCATGTTGTACCTCGGCTTTCCTTTTACCTGCACTTGGATCCCACTGCAAACACAATATGTCAAAAATACATTGAAGTTTGTAGTTTAGATATGACAAAATGTGAATAAATTCCAGGTTTATGAATACTTGCAATGCTGTGTTTCAAAAGCGTCATTCATATATATAAAACCTCATCAGAAAAACATTTTGGATCACTGAGTAAACTGTTTCCAAGTTGCTCACTGTCTCAAACATAGTTGCCTCTTCACAGAGCAGCTCCAAACTAAAGACAACACACCTGTCAAGGGAGGTTTAGCACTAACATGGAGAGTGCTGGCTGGAACCTATTGTGACATCATTGGGCTGCAGTGCCTCTTTATGTTCACAAAGGTTATAAGATGAGCTGAAGGAGAAAAGGGAACAGTAAGATGGCAAGAAACTCTGTGTGTGTGTGTGTGTTCCTGTCTTGGCATCACAGTGAGAACCATTTTCCCGATTTCACCATCAAATTGAGGACCATTGGTACCAAAGTGAGGACATTTTGCTGGTCCTCACGACCTATTTTGCTAACGGTTAGGTTTAGGACTAAGGTGTGAATTGAGTTTAGGTTAAGGTTAGGGTTAGGCATGCACTGGTAATGGTTAGGTTTAGGGTTATTGTCAGGGTTAGGGCATAGAAAGGGTTGAAAATGACTGAAAATCAATGGAGGTCAATGGGAGTCAACACATGGTCCTGTGTGTGTGTGTGTGTGTGTGTGTGTGTGTGCATGCACAGTTGTTTTTCCTGTGTGTCTCTGTTTTCCACTGTGATTGGACTGGCGACTTGTTCAGAGTATAACCTGCATTTTGCC